CTTGTTGTTTTCTTTAATTACTTTCTGCAAGTTTAATTTTTTTTAATTTTTGATCGATTGAATCTTGCAAATTATTGTGTGGGTTTTTGGCCCCCTTCATTATAGCTGGTGGAGCTCCACTGCCTAGCATATGTTGAGAATTGAAAACCATATTTCTATTCTATTGAGAGCAATTAATTCGTAGAAATGAAAAATATACACCAAAGAATACGCACGATTAGGCTCAACAACTTAACAAGATAGATTGATTGAGAGAACTTGTAGGTTGAATGTCACATATTCCAATAATGAATTAATTGAAGATTGTCGATTGGAGAGAATATAGTTCTCCAAGAATATGTGGATTTCACTTTGCCCTTGTCTCTAAACATATTGATAAATTTATGGGGATTATATTGTAATAAATTGATAAATTTAGCTATCATCTCTCACATAATTATCCTCGATGGGTGTCTGAGTCCAAGAACATCGCCTTGTCTGAACAATGTGGTTGTCGTGATTGAGGATGTCAACAGGTTTCTATTAGAGACAATGTCTGAGGTTATAATCCTCAAGATCCAGATTATGATCCTCCAGGTTTCAACTTAAGTTTTAAATTTTAGAAACTTAAAATTGATTTTAATTTTCAGTTTTTCTTTATTTTAATATTCATATTTAATAGAAAATTAAAATTCATAATTATATATTTTAGCTTACACTTTAATTGAATTTATTCTCATCAGTGTGGAGGTTTAAGATGTACACTATAAAAAATAAAAAAATAAAATAAAATAAAATAATAATAATAATAATAATGATAAGAGATTTTATAATTTGGACACAACTTGAGATACTTAAATACAAAAATACTCCATTTATATTTTATATTATATTTCTATAGTTTTGACAATTTGATGAGATGCTTGTTCTTTATCTCCCTATGATCATGCTCATAGAAGGAGAACTAATTGTGAGTTATATGAATTTTATTTTGGAATCGTGCAGTGTCCAACATACCCGCACGTAGGGAAGGTAACACGACTTTAGAACAGCGTCCTTGACGTGACTTCCTAAAGCTTAATTTTCTAACCCTCCTCTTATAGTTGTATTATTATTGAATTATATTACTTATGTTTATGTTTAAATTAGTTATGTTAATTGATAATTTATCTATACAAAAATCATCCTTTTTTTCCAACAATCTAAAATCGTATTGACGTGACTTCCTAAAGCTTAATTTTCACCCTTCTCTTATAGTTGTATTATTTTTGAATTATATTACTTATGTTTATGTTTAAATTAGTTATGTTAATTGATAATTTATCTATACACAAATCATCCTTTTTTTTCAACAATCTAAAATCGTGTTGAGAGTGTTTGTGCATATAGTGTATGATATTCAAAGTGTAGGAAATATAACTTATGTATTAGCGTTGATGCTCCGAATATGGGGCAATTGAAGATAGTTCGATATTGGACACCTATTTAGTGATTGAACTGATATCGGATTCTATGATAAAGATTTTCACAATAGCCAACAACCCCATTTATTTCCTTGCTTGGCAGAACAAGCCCCAGCATGTAAACATTGTACCTGGTTTGTATTATGTTTCATTGATTACTTGCTTGCCTTACTAGTAAATTCTTTATATAGGAAGGATTTACATTTTGATTTGGTTTTCCAGGAAAGTTTAATTTATGTTATTAGATAGAAAACTTACCACGTTAACAATTAAAAGGGCTAAGTGACAAAATGACACAATTTACCAAGGAAAACATTGTGACATTTTCAGTTAAATAATGTTCAGAGAACAAGTAGATTAGAGAAGTCATTGACAATTTCTTAATGGTTAAAATATTTTCTCTATCACTTTAAATTTGAAATGGTTGTCAGCTAGATCTATTATAATTATTTGTACTATTTCAAAAATGAGAATTCATTTTGGTGGCAATGAAAGTTAAGTTAGATTCAGATGTTGAATTGTCAATTGTTTTTGGTTTACGTGAAAATTTAGGTTCTTTTGGAGTTTATACGCATGGATAAATATTTCTTTGGGTTCAGAAAGTTTTGACTGATTGAAAATGCTTTAAGTTCATTGTAGGCATATAATGGTGATTGATACTAATCTGTCTTTCTAAAATGATAAACGAATGTGGATTTGTATGCTTCTCTATATGTGTGCTATATGTTTGTTGTTTGAAGAAATATATATAGATACTAATAGTACAAGGGACTAGTGTTTACCTCTTTTTAGGACAAATATGGATAAGTAGTAATATTTAAATTTGACACTAACAGGTTAAAATTTCTAAGAAGACAATTAATCTGAATTATAAATTACTGTTGCAGCTTGAGGAAATAAGAACTGTATTCAAATAGTTATTGTTTCTCAAGATAAGAAACTATGAAAGTTTATTCATAGAAAAAGGAGGAATAATATTTATCTTATATTAAATATGTTATCTACTTGTACTATGTTATTGTATGTTTCTATAATGTGCAAGTCAAATTGAAATATTTTATTACCTTTGTTATGACCAATTCATGAATAACTTGGGTATTCATGATTTTTTCTTCTCGAAAATGTGAACTCCACTTTCCACAAGTAATGTGAGATTTTATCAGTACGCTGACCTCTCTTAAAACTTATTTTATTTATGTGAATGTTTTATTAGTTTCACTCCAATTAATTGCTTTAGACATCACGTAAAAAGACCATTGGATTTAGTGAAGTGGGGTACCTCATAAATACGATAGCATGACAATTAACATCAGTTTGTTGATCTCGATGATGGTAATTAATAATTTGATATGGTCACCTACATATATGATTGTACTAGGAATGAATATAGTCGATAATCTCATAAAAGAGCTCATGAGTTTACATGGATTTTTATGCGGTGTCAAAATTAGTTTTGAATTAGTTCACAATGAAAATGAAGGAAATGATGCAGAGAATTTTAAAGGAAAAATTCAGTGCGATGAAATATAATTACAATGCATTTTATTCTATCTGCTTAGACATATTGGTGATTATATATGTTGTGAGAAAGAAAATGACGTACATTAACTCATGATAGAACTACATGGAAAAAGGTAAACTCTACAAAGTAACATCCTCTCAGTTAGTCAGATATCTTTAAAATGAGGGGGTGTTTTTAGATAGATACACCTTATATTTTATTATTATTCTTAGTGGTAAAATTGATGTTCTGAGTAAGTGTTAAGATTAAATTTGAAGATTGTAATGAAATAAAAGGGTTGAACGGATGCATATGTTCAAATGTGTTACTAAAAGTCAAAATTAGAAAGTTCATATATTTATCCTATGTGATATTAATACTTAAAAAAATTCTTAGATAACTTTGCAGATATGCAAGAAGAGAATAAGAGTTTGTAAATATTGATGGTACCAACTTATTTGTCCTAGTTGAACGTGAAATAAAGTATAGTCCATAATGGGTATACATAAATCATTGAGGGGATGGGTTAAGCCCACAACCTCTGAAAGTAACTCGACCTTTGTGACTGGAGATCCTATAAGGAAGGTTCAACATGATAAAAACAACCCGTACTACGTGACTTATAATAGCGCTATATTATATGTGTTCATTCATATGATGATATAGTGCTAATAGATGTGATGTTAAGAAGGGTTTAACCCTGAATAAGGATCGAGACGAGAATTCTCGCGAGGTGTAGGTCACGCACACCATTGGGGGACTTATTTATACAAGAGTTGTCACGAGGCCATGACTACAGGATTGGGCTATTCCTTAGAGACTCTTACTAGAATCAAGATTAGAATGCATGATTATTAAGAGCGTTACCCGCTATGAACTAGAGCCTAAATCGATACTCTGTGTGGAACAATTGAAGTTTGGCAAAAAATACATAATTCAAGACTTAGTCCATTATAGCTCCTCTAAATGAAAATTGTTATTATTAAGCGAGGTTCAAATTCAAAAAGACACATACACCTATTAGACAGTATAGCATTGCAACTATATATTATATTTATTTATTTATTTTGAAAGTTTAAAACTTGTGGAGGATTATTGTAATTTAAGTTTTAAAATTTCAAAACTTAAAATTGATTTTAATTTTAAGTTTCTCTTTATTTTAATATTCACATTTAATAGAAAATTTAAATTCATAATTATATATTATAACTTACACTTTAAAAGATTTTATTCTCATCATTGTGGTGGTTTAAGATGTACATTATAAAAAGGAGGAGATTTTATAATTTGGACACGACATGAAAACACAACTTGAGATACTTGAATACAAAAATACTCCATATATATTTTATATTATATTTCTATAGTTTTGACATTTAATGAGAGGCTCGTTCTTTATCTCCCTATGGTCGTGCCTATAGAAGGAGAATCGGCTAGCTATGAACTACATGAATTTTATCTTGGAGCCATGTAGTGCCGAAAGTACTTGCATTTAGGAAAGGCAGTATTACTATAAGATAGCGTCCTTGACATTACTCTGTAAGGATTACTTTTCTAATCCTCCTCTTATGTTTGTATTATTATTGAATTATATTACTTATGTTTATGTTTAAAAATAGTTATGCTAATTGATAATTTATCTATATACAAATCACTCATTTTTCTCAACACTAGAAGTATCTGGAGGATCAACTGGGGAGTTTCTTATCCATCAGGACCTCTCAGTGTTTTCCTAGGGTCTGTCTGGATCAGTTGCAGAGTTTTTCAGCAGATTTCATCGAGGATGGTCTTGTTCGACTTACAAATGTGAGGATTGAAAGAAGGGCTTGAATCCCCTCCAGTGTTGATTTGGCTGCCTTTTTCAAAATGTTGTATGTTAAAATTTTGTATCTTTCTTGCTGTGAGATCTGCTGCTGTTCATTTCATGCTTGGCAATATTATTACACACGATATTGTGACAATTAATAAAGGGAAGTAGTGTGTGATGATTATGCTCACTGTGCCATTAAACACCAAAATTATTAACTAACTTTATATAAACAATCGATAAAAGATGGTAGGTTAAACTTCTTGTGTTCATACATATTGAAATTCGAAAGCTCTAAAACATTCATAAACCAGAAGGTCCATTTTTCAAGTACTAACAAATCAAAGCTCAAATCTAAATTACATTCTGAAAATAGGCAACAAAAATGGATGAACTATTACAGAAAGCGGTTACACTGCCTATGATCATGTAGTTGATAAAGATTGGCAGGGATAATGGAGAAGGAAACAAATTTTAGTTCCTTTGGTTGATCAACGGCTGTGAATATGGTGGTGGGGTAGACTGACGTTGGCTGGTGGAGGTGGCAGAGGAGCGGTGGCATTAAGCAGTTGAGGTGGTGGCGATGGTGGCAATTGGGTTGGGCATTGATAACACTTGGTAAAAAGTCCAAACGTGTCAATTTGGTGTATGAAGTTTGTCATGCTAGCCCAACCACCAAATCCAAAACCAACAATTAGCACCCAAACTACCACAAATATATTGATTATGTAAGTGCCAACCCATTTTCCAAAGTACTTTGATGGCTGCTCCACTGCATTCTGTGTTAAAAAATAATTCACCTGGTTATTAGAAATTTGTATAACTAATCATATTATAATTTAATAAAAAAAAAAAAAAAGGGTTTTGATCAACTTATAGACAACAACAAGTCGACTGTGCCAAGTTAACATCTTTATTTTCAGTCAAAGTAGATCCGATATTCTGAATCTAAGCATTCAGAATTCTGAGAAATGCACCCTGGAATTTTCTATTATGGGTACCCTCTGTGTTTGGAGTCTTCCAGTTGGAAGCATTAGGGACAAATTACTTAATTATTGAATTCTGTCATTTGATTTTTATATTTCTTTTTCTTTTTTCCTAAATGATCGGAAGATAAACATTTCACGTACCTCTCGAGCCGCGGGTGATCTGAAGGTGAACATATGAGCCAAAGCTGGAATAATGTAGACGGTGAAGCTAACAAGAAGCGATCCGACGGTGGAGTTAATAGGACCAAAGAATGGAAAAACAATTGCCAAAAACCATATGGGTATTACCACCGGCAACCTTGCGGCCGCCCGCTTGCATAAACTCTTGCACTCGTGCATTCCGATTGCCTTCTCCCACACGAAATACAATGGCGTGCATGCAAATCCAAACGTTATAAACTGTATCAATTGTGACGAGCAAAGTAATTGTTAATCACACATATTTATAGTTCTAGATCAATGACTAAAGTGCAATATTTTAATTACATAGCTAGATCATGTCGTGATTGCATTGGTATCGATTTTCATTTTAGGGTGTGTTCTCAATGAAATTTGAAGTCACCTACATGAATTTATGGTATTGATTATTTTTCACAACCTTTTCTCAGATAAATTTGAAATCTGCTAGAAGAATATAATGCTGTCAAATGGGTTGAACTAGTTATGGACGGTGACCTTGCCAACTTCGGCACTGTTACTAAACTCCTATTTAGTTTAGATTAAAATCAAAAAATTTAGTCAAGTTTGATAAAAGTGGATGAAACGTGTGGTTGAAAAATTGATAAAAGTTGTAACTCCTATGAAATATACGTGATTGAAAATTAATTCGAAGAAAAAAGAATGACAATAAAAACAAGTGAATCTTTTTACAAATAAGTGAATGCATGCCTGATGGATGAGCATCAAAATGACAGCCATGTCCCTGAAAGGGGACCTTGGAAGAAGAGAAAATGCGTTGGAGTGATTGAGAAGGGCATCTCCAAATGCCCAGTACACTGCTGCTGCTGATGGAAGCGTCAATGTCAATACATAAAGGGTCGCCAGTAAGTATATGGCTTTGAACTTCTGTGGCTTCCACATTGCATGCATAATCTCACTGTCATCGAACACTTTTAACGTTAATCGGGATTAGATAGAATTGAGCAGTATTAAAGAACACAAAATAATAAGATTTTAACGCCTTTTCTTCGAGAATGGGTCGAGCAAGGTGGAACCCACTACTCAATTGTCTCGTAAGGCAAGTTGAACTTCAAAAGTGAATGGTGAAAGAATCCAGTCTTTCTATACTTCCAAAAGCACAAAAAAGGGTTTCCAAGAAAGTGAACTTTCCTTCCCCCTAGCACGCCTGGGAAGGGCATTATTGGGAGAATAAATATTTTCTAGACAAATATAAGATTGGTCAGCAAATCACATGGTCAGATCATGTCCAGATTACCTAGGTTAAGTCACTTTCAAAATGACTATTCTGCCATTGTGTAAAAAACCCCAAAACTTGAAGGTCGAGGAATATGTGTGAAATATAACGTAAAAGACACGAATATAATAATTAAGGATGTCTTACACAGTAACAGCATGTCCCCCGAATGTGTATAGAATGTTTGTGGCTCCTGTGAAGTACAACACCAATTTGGTTGGACCCGAGTGCTTCACACCCTCTACCTGTTAGATAAGAAATAAATCATATACAATTATTTAATTAAAAGTGTGCTGAATTATAATTAATTACATCTTTTATTTGGAATCTTCCAAGATGAACTTCAATAGATCACAGGACAAAGAAATCTAAGCACTAGTAAAGATAACAGATATGTCTAAAAAGTATAAATACTTTTTTACCAGTATGTGAATTTTGTTGAATAACCCGTATAAAAACTTAAATATTAGAGAAATAACATGTTTATTGATTTTAAATTGGTTTTAAAACACATCCACTCGTGTATATGTATATAAAAGTTTAATGCATCAGAGAGGGGACAATCTTGTTTATTTATATTATACTTTCAAATGACATCGTGAACTCCTCTCAAGTACGAGCTAACTTCATGCTTTGGTTTTGTTAAAATCATATTTTTAGTATATTTTGATAAAGATTGATGAAATATATATGGTTGAAAAATTTATAAAATTTGTGGATCTATGAAATGTGTGGTTAAACTTTGATTCAAATTTTTATCAACTTTTTAAGCTAAATCGAACGAAAGCTCAGTCTAATGTGGTAAACATATGTGAGATTTTCTAGAGTATATTTCATGAGGTAAATGTACTAATGAAAATATGTAATGAATCATGAGTACCTGGCCATGGACAAGTGAAGCAATGGTGAGGTACCAAGCAGTATAAGTGGTCATTAACAAGCCAAGAAATGACCAGATTCGATAGTTGTGGAAAGAAGGTATGAACACTGTGGTGGCACAACAAGCTCCGAATATGTAAGTCCATGTTCTTTTGTCCAGATTATCATTTATGTAATATATATTACTGCATCCCATTAAATTTTGCAGAAAATGGTCAGTGACTAATTCATTTTTTATGTTAAAAAAATCAGTAAAAATCAGTGTATATAAAGCTAGAAGATACCTCGCACAAGCTATGAGTTGAATCACAGATCCAAACATAAGAAATGTGCAATTAAATGCCAAACCCACGTTCCTCCAGTGTTTCCCAAGCAGCCCATCAAGAACTTCAAACCACTGTAATTAAATTTTTATTAAAAAAATGGACATCCATGTGAGAAAATGGATATACACAATTGTCGGATTTCAAGTATATATTATTTGTATTAATTAAGAAAAGAGAAACAATAAGTTTACCTGAATAACATGATTTCTGAAATCAACTTTTTCTCTTTCTTTTCTGGTTCTGTACTCTACGTAGAGAATGCTAATGAGATAAGCTGTCCAACTGCCCAGTAAACCATAGAAAAGCTGAAAGAGAATCCCAGAAAGCATTCCCAGTTGAGAAAATGAATATGGCAAGGTAAGAAGAACTTGAGCCACCTGAACCACAGAAAAAATAAAATAAAATAAAATTCGTGAAGTCGTTGGAGATACGAATCAGTAGGTGCACATGGACGGACGAACATTTCGACTACGTCGTGCTGTGATATCAGCAATTTGGATATATAAAAACTGACCTGATTTGAAGCACAGCTAAACCAAGCATCATAAACTGAGCCACCATGCCAGAAAAACTTGGATACTTTTGACTTGATATCTCTAGGTTTACCTTCAGTCTCCATTTCTACATAGTTTCCTACGATCACTGTCTCCACAACCTTGTCCGAGGATTCCATTTTCCTCCCTCTCTCTCTCTCTCTCTCTCTCTCTTTCAATAAATGTCTCTCTCTGTTGTAGTGTATACTGATCAGTATCAGTGGAATGAGGTTTTCTTGTAGATGTGGAAGTATATGTATATTTATCTACACACATAGAAGTGAAATGACATTGTTTGAGGTTAAGGGTGGGTGTGGTGGGGTTTTTTGAAGTGTGGGAAAGCCTGGGTTTGAAAGGTATGGTAGAGGAGAGATTCGCAATCCAACACTGTGAGCTTTGACGGAAACAGCCTGTTTTACTTGCCTAAATTTTGTTTCCTTATCAATTAAATTAATTAAACATATGTAATTAATCTTGTTTTTTATTGAAATAACTATAGAAGCGTGAGAGGGGTGTCCGCACGAGTGAGTTTTCGCTACTTCCAATACGAGTGGATTAGCATTGATTTTCTTACTCTCATTTTTTCATATTTTTATCTGGTAAAACATGGCATGGACTCAGCACTCATTGAACATTATAAAATGTACAAGTATTTCATCATTTATTTTTATTTTTATTTTTCGAGGTCGGATGTCCCTAATCAGCATACAACTATCCGTGGTACTACGCTCTCCAAGTATGCTTTGATTTTCCTTTCTTCTACTCTCTCTTCACCATTCCTACCGGAAAGGTTATCGGAAGGTTCTAACTATTCCTCTTACTATAGGACGTTCACCTAAGCAAAGTGATACAAAAAGAACTATAATCAATTTTTGATTCCATCTATAAGAAAAGATCCTATGAAAAGAGATGTAACTCACGTTCTTTCAAAATCGCTAGTCAATCCAATTTTTAATAAGAACAGTTAACAATATTAATCCCTTGGGGGCTTTCTTGTGTAAATACCATTGAAAATACAATTGTGTGTGGTAACTTAGAATAACTTCAATTCAGCTACCAAAATTTATCGCGTGAAGTGATTGTGAAAGCGTGCAAAGTTTTTATCTATTCTTTTTCCTGTATTTAATTGCTCAACCAGCTGCTTTTAGCTAAGAAGTGTTGGATTTTTATTTTAATTTTTTTTTCAAAAGGCAACTTTTGCCTGCATAGTGATTAAAATAAGTTGAAGAAAAGAAGCCTAATAGAAACTTCTACCATGCATGGATAGTCTTGCTTTGAGGAGCAATGCTTTACAATTTGATTTGATGATTAAGTAAAGCACTTGGAACAAACTTGAGGTGGTTTATATGAAAATATTCCAATGTATTTTGTTTGTCGTTAAGTTAGATTTAGACTCGAAAGAAGAGTTATTTCACGAGCTACGATTTAGAGAGAAGGGGATTACGTTTGGAGAGGAGATAATTAAAGGATTAATAAAAAAAAGAGTGAATGGTGGGGAATTATGAAAAAGTAGACCAAATGATTGCAGCCAAACGGGCGTGGTCGCTTTATATGAAGAAAAAAGCTGCTTTTATCACATGAGGTAATTAGGAGCAAAGCCCAAATATCTAGAAGTCTCTTAGTCACATGAACTTATTTGTAGGAAATATATATTAAACGTGCCTTAGGAGACATCATTTCCATTCTTTATTTCTTAAATTCTTGCACTCCAAACGAAAAAAAGGAAAAAAAAAATTACAATCTGTAACTCTTATTAGATTTTCCATTTTAACTGGATTTCTAGTAATTTTATTTTAGTCAAACTCCGATAAAAGCGAAATATTTATTAATATCAAAAAATAAAGTAGAACGTCCAACCAATACTTCAAACACCGTACACTCGTCAATCACCTGAGGAAAGATATTTGTTGGCTCATCGTCTCTTAGATATCACGCTCCTACTTATAAGTTAATTTGTTAAACTCAACATATCAAATTGTTTCTCTCAGATCGTATATTCTTCAATGTCGCCCTAAACTTTTCTTTTGAACCTCTACTGAATCGAAAATGTCAGCTAGAGTGATCGTTGGTTATCCTTAAAGTCGTCGTGATAATATATTATGAGTATATCCACTCCTAATTAATTAATAAATAAGATCAATAATTACCATTAGAGAGTGGAATTGAAATTGTTGTGTAAAGGACATATTTTCAGTGTTTGATGGGAATTATTGGAGGGGTCATCCATCACAGAGAGTGGGACAAAAAACATTCCCCCTGAAAAGTTTGTCTCCGTTTGACTGTATGTACCCCGTTCGGTCACCGGTCACCCCTAGTTTAAGGTTGCACGAGCTGGTTTTTCATATATTTTTCAAATATATATTCAACCTTCCATTAGGCCTTGTAGGTTCGATTTGCGTGACGTTTGAAATGTTCGAATAATTTTTTGAAATGTTCGAATAATTTTTTGAAATATTTGTCTAGTTGAAGAACTCTTTAAAAAAATTGAATTAAAATGGCACCCTAAAAAAAATCTTCTACAAATAGAAGCAAAAATAGCAGTCTTGTCAAACGAGTCCACGAGATAACTAATTCTAAGGTGTCTAGTGATATGTCCTAATTTGTGTAAAAAATGACGTGCGTAAAATTTATATCACATAGTTTAAAACGCTTACATTGGACCGTCTAGACTCGAAAGCTCAAGTCCCAACCCTAAATTGTATGGGGCCATTTGGATTTGGTAGGTTGGTACATGCCGAGTTTGAAGTCCTCTTTTTATTTTATTTTTGAATCATATTATGAGTACTGAATTTTTTGACAGAAAAATCTTACAGACAACATGTGGCGATACATCATTGGAAGATGGAAAAAAAAAAAAAAACAGTCCATTTACATTTTGCCACATCAACGTCAATACAAGTTCTATTAAATTTTTTCTGTACTTATGGCTTATTGTTTATCTTTATTATTTGAAAAGTAACCATAAATAAAAATGAAAATTTTGGAGTTGTGGATAGAATGAGCATGCCAGGAGATTGGGTGCTATAATTGATGGCAAGTCAACCTATGATTATCAATAGTTCAGCTTAAATTATGCTTAAGTTCACTATTAATGATGTGAAAGCAGCACAAAAGTATAACCCAAAATCCATCTAATTTTTTTCAGTAACAGGTTTTGGAAAAGCATTTTCTATTTTGCATGCTCAATAAACACAAAGTAACACAATAAAATTAATTCAAAGAGAGTAAAGAGAGAAAAAAAAATTTAATTTTTAAAGCTTGTCGCAAACATGTTTCATTGTACATTTCTAGTTATTTATTTGATAATAAAGAATTATTTTAAAGAAAGTGTCATATGAGATGAAATGACGCAACAATTCTCTTGGAGACGATATCCCTAAAAATTTGAACTTTTATATGAGTTAGTTCAACATGATCAAAATATTCAAGGAGTACTGAGTCGTTCGTGTCTATTTATGAAAATTGTGCATTTGTTGAAATTTTTTGAAAAAAAAAAATCTTGCTTAAACATGAATTAACGTGTTGGAGACACAAAATAATCAACACAAGATATGGTCTAAAAGTTGGGCTGCCCTTAATTATTTGTGGGTTAGGAATCATAAATGGAGAAACATTATCATGCTGAATAATTTCCTGGTATCTGTGGTAGGAGACCTAATTAGTTCTAAAAGGAAATTGACTTTAGCCAATTCAAGTGGAAGAAGACTCCACTTTGAAATTCTAAAATGTAAAAGGAAATTAACAATCATTTTTTTATGGATGGTAACATCATCAATCCACCAGTATTGGTTGAGCTTCGTTTGAATATGGGCCACGGCTATAGTCTAACGTTGAATAGGGCTATAAGCAAAAATCGTCAACTAGGAAAATCGAACCGAAATCACATTTTAGAAATCGTCGGTTTGACGCCACGTGGATCCGGTCAACGAAATGGTTTTGATCCAAACCAAACCAGTCAAAATGGTTTGGTTTATGTTTGAGAATTTTAATTGCGATTTAAAACCAAACTGGACCGGCGAAAAATATATAAAAATAAAAAAATGAAGAAATGAATTTTTTTGGAAATTCATTCAAATATGTAAAATTCAATAGTTTTGTTATTTGTGGGTATTTTTGTTAATTTCTAATTTTCTAATACAGATATATTATTATTATTATTATTATTATTATTATTATTATTATTATCCAATAATCCTAATATATATCTAATAATCTCAAGACTAACATAATCTATCAAAAGCTCTTTTTCTCTTCAGAATTTAGTTAAACTACAGTCGACACTCAACACAGTTTTGAGCCATCGGCACCACATACTTCTTTTTCACATTTTCACGCCTTTTCAAAGTTAAATTGAAGTCTATTATATCAAATCGGAGACAAAGAGATCATAAACATTCGGTGATAATATTTGCTACAAATAAAGTTTCAGATCAATAAATTTTTTTGGAACAAACTAAGATAAGAATATGAAATTAAATGCATTTCGTAACATCATACAAATGTAAATTTGTGTAATTGTTATGTTTAGATATTATAAACAATTGTTTTATTATTGTGGTTGGTTATTCTCTTTGTCTAATCAGTATCTTTTTTCAGGTATGATGATCACGATATCTTATTGGACATCATTATATTTTTTGGCACTTATGTCTAATTTAATAGATTTGTATTGTAACGTTATTATATCGTCATTAGCCTAAAAAAGATGAACAAAAATGAAAAAAAAAACTATGTTTTAGTTTATTGTAATTTTTCTTTGATTTGGTTGATATTTAGATTTATAGTAGATATATTTATCTTCTGTTTGAGCCATATTTTTCATATCATCATAACAAGAAAATTGATCGTTGGAAAGGAGGTTGGATCCCACACATGAAACAGCAGGTCAACAAAGGCGGCTGGACTTGTGGGATAATTGTCCAAATTTTCATTTTTTTGTTCCAAAAATTTGGTTCAAACAAGGATTAAGTTTGTTTTAGATTTATTGCTAGTAAGATATAAATATATATTGAATTCAATGAATTAATGATATAAAAGTAGGAAAAAAAATATGATGAAACCGGTGGTTTAAAATCGGACCAAACGGTTAGGTTTAGGTTTGAGTTTTTTTTCAAACCGTTCAAAATGGTTTGGTTTAGGTTTGAGTTTTTTTTTCAAACCGGATTAATCGATTTGATTTGAAAATCTATCAAAAATCGAGCCGCTTACACCCCTAATGTTGAAGGATAATTTATGCAATTACAAATATGTGCAACTTTATTGAAAGTAAAAAATACTGTGTAAAAATTAAAAAGTAATACAATGTC